CTGAGAAAATGATTTAAACTAATTAACTTAACCTTCAAAACATTCCTTTGATTCTCGGAGTCATGTGAATACATAAAGCTATAGGTTTTCTGTCTCCATCATGAAACTCAGAGGGGCAAGCTGTTGTTTCCTGTTTTCCAATTCCAGCTCAGACTTTATTAAATGAACATATTTCCAACAGAGGTCCCAGCACCAATCCTTGTGGAACATCACTGGTCACAGACCTCCGGTCAGAAAAAACAACTGCCCTCTTTCTTCTATGCACAAGTCAATTTTGTATCCAACTTAGCAACTCACTGTGGATTCCATATGACTTAATCTTCTGGACCAGCCTACCATAAGGGACCTCATCAAATGCCTTCGCAAAGTCCATGTAGGCAATATCCACTGCCCTACCTTCATTATTCATGTTTGTCACTCCCTCAAAAGGCTCAATCAACTTTGTGAAGCAAGACATATCCGACACATAGCCATGCTGATAATCCCAAATAATCATATTTTTTTCCAAATGCAAGTGAATCCTGCCTCTGAGAATCTTCTCCAATAATTTCCCTACCACTGATGTAAGGCATCTTTAACGAAGGAGCAACTTTGGCTATTCTCCAATCTTCTGGGACCTCACCTGTGGCTAAAGAGGATACAAAGATCCCTGTCAAGGTCCCTACAATCTCCTCCCTTGCCTCCTTCAATATCGTGGGATAGGCACTTATCAGGTGGTGGGGACTTATCTACCTTGATGTTTTTCAAGATGCTCAACATCACTGTCTTCTTAATATCGACATGTCGTAGAATATCAGCATACCCTCCCTAAAATGACCATCATCCACGTCCTTCTCCTTGATGAATACTGATACAAGTACTCATGAAGGACCTTAGCTACTTCTGCCTACGCACCTAAGTTTCCTCCTTTGTTCTTGAGTGGATCTACCGTTCCCCTAGCTACCCTCTTGTTCCTAATAGTTGTCCCTAATTGAATCTCACAGATAATCGTTCACTGTGGAATAATCTATCTTCTTCCAAAAGTATGAAGGAGGAAAGATAACAGATTGACCCTGCTGTCTTGAATCAAATGTAGCAGAAAAAGCAAATATTTAAAATTAAAATGATTGGAGGCTAGCCATCAACTAACTATCTGATTGTTTTATAAGAAAAAAATAAAAATAAGTGTAAAGCTGCCTTAGTCTTACTAGATCATAGGACTGCTGTTTTGTTAGAGAAAGCCGACTGGTGGTGGTTTAACCTGAGGGTCATCATTCCTCAGGTGAGGGGAGAGGTTGAGGAAGAGAGTCCTTCATGGTAACCTCAATGGTGCAAGAATTGAATCCACGCTGTTGTATGAAGTAGGAGGAAGTTGTTATTGCCTAGAGGAGGGGTATCGCAATGTAATGCTTTGTACAGAATATAGAGGTTTTTGATTTAAGTTGTGTTAAGGTTTTAGTTGTATAAATATTAACTCTTGATTTAACTAGAGAGAAGAGAATATATCTATTGTCTCATTATAATGTGATGATGGACATTAACTGGTGATTTAATTTCAGTCTGTATAGACACTGAGAGTGTGCGATTGTTGAGCTATGAGCGGGCTAATTGTAATGAGTAACACTGTAAACAATTGTGTAAGTATAAATATAAAGCTGTGTGTAAAGATGAAAGACAGAACTGGAGCCAACCTCTTGGCTTTCTGAGCTATGACATCAGCTGTGTGATTACACATCAAATCCTGCGTTAAGGTTTCTTCAAAATTGAATGAGAAAGTAGGAGCAGTTAGAAAAAATTAAGGGCAAGGTGAATAAGCAAAGCTGGTGGGAGACTAGGGACAAAGGAAGGGAGAAGGGCATTAAAGAACATAAGAATGACAGAAAATTAATACAGACGAGAAGAATAGGGCAGATCATGTGATGTTCCCTAGATATTTAACATATGTAGAAGTATCAGCTTGGTTCAGTTGGGAGCATGCTCACCTCTTAGTTGAAGACTAAGATGATAAGAAATAATATCAGGACTAGGCCATTCAGTCCTTTGAGCCTATTCAGCCATTCGACAGAATGATGCTGATCCAACATTTCTCACAACCATTTTTCTGTGTAGCCCTTGATTTTCCCTACTGATCAAGAATCTATCTATCTCAACCTTAAAGTTACACAAGGATTCCCCCATCCCCCACTGTCTGTGGCAAGGAGTTCCAAAGACACTCAACGCTCAGAAAGAAGAAATTCCTTTTGATCTCAGCATTAAATTGGTGCCCTTTTATTCTGAGACTATGCCCTCTGGTCCTAGACTCTCCTGTGAGGGGAAACATCCTCTCAGTATTTACGCTGTCAAGCCCCTTAAGAATCCAAATATTTCACTGAGATCACCTCTTATTTTTCTGAACTCCATAGCAAGTAGAGTGCCAACCTGTTTAGCCTTTGCTCAGAAGAATCAGGGTTCTTCCTTGTCAACTTTCTCTGAGCTGCCTCCAATGATGGATCTTTCCTTAAATAAGGCAACCAAAACTGCTCACAATACTCCATATGTGATCTCGCCAGCAGTTAGTACATTTGCAGTAAGACTTCCCTACTCTTCTACTTGAACCCCCTTGAAATAAGGGCCAATATTCCATTAACCTTCCTGATTACCTGCTGCACCTGTGTGCCAGCTTTCTGTGTTTCACACACAAATCCTTCCAAGTCCCGTTGTGTTGCAGCTTTCTGAAGATGTTTTCCATTTAAATAATACTGTTCTTTTGTTCTCCCTTCCAAAAAGAAAAACTTCACATTTTCCCACATTATACTCCATTTGTCCAAGTTTCCTGCTCCTCTGATGCTGCTTGGCCTGCTGTGTTCATCCAGCTCTACACCTTGTTATCTCAGATTCTCCAGCATCGGCAGTTCCTACTATCTCTTAAATTATCTATAACTCTTTTAAGTTGTTTCTATCTCTTTCACAACTTGCCTTTCAACCTATTTTTGTGTTATTTGTATATTGGGCTACAGAACATTCACTTTCTTCCTCCATATCATTAATATATATTGTAAACAAGTGTGGTCCCAGCACTGAACCCTGTGCAACCCCACTGGTCAGATGTTGCCAATATAAAAGAAATCACTTATCCCTGCTTGCTGTTTCCTGCCCAAGCCAAACCTCTATCCATGCCAATATACTCCTAGCACGATGGGCTCTCGCCTTACATTTAACCTTATGAGGTACCTTGTCGAACAAATGTCCAAATGCAACGTATCTACTGGTCCCCCTCTATCCTTTCTGGTTGAGACTTCCTTGAAAAACTCTAATAAATTAGTCAGACACAATTTCCCTTAAATGAAGCCATGCTAACTCTGCTAGATAATATTATGATTTTCCAAATCTTCAGCTATTACTTCCTTAATAATTGATTCCAATATTTCTGCAACAGTAGATGTTAGGCTCATTGGCCTATAGTTACCCACTTTTTGCCTCCCTCCCTTTTGATTGGTGATTCTCCAGAATCCAAGTGTTTTTGGAAAGTTACAACCAATGTATCCACTATCATGCATCCACTACCTCTGTAGCCACCTCCTTTAGGATCTTAGAATGGAAGCCATTAGGGCCGGGGGACTTATCTGCCTTTAGCCCTATTAGTTTGTCTAATACTACTACTTTAGTGATGAGGATGGCACTTAATTCCTCACTGATATTCTTTAACATTGATGGGATGTTCAAAGTATCTTCCACCATAAATACTGTTGCAAAATATGTGTTTAACTCCTCTGCCCCATTTCCTTGTTCTCTGTAACCATCCTCCCCAGATTCATTTTCTAAGCTTTGAATTTTCAAGCCTCCCTCCAGCAACTGAATGTGTATACTGACAGGGAACTGGAAAACTGAAGGAGGGCTATATTGACTTTTGGTAAGATCTTAAACACAAGCTCTGCCTGACTGTTCAGTGGATCTGAAAAATCCGAGGGAAGAATTTATGAATGACAGGGAGTTCTTCCAATGTCCTGGGCAACATTCATCCCTCAGGCAATGCAACCCAAAAAGGAATGAACCCTTCATTCACCTACCTCACATAATAGTGGTGACTGTGTTGCAAAGTAATGAATTATATGAATCACTCAGATCTTTCAGCAAAATATGATAAAGCACTATGTAAACAAAGGTCCCTTTACTGAGCTGTTCCCTTTCTGCTAATATTAAAGATTATTAATACCTCTGATCCTGCAATTGGACTCAACTCTATTTCAATATCAGTGAATCTAAAATTATATTTTGTCAGAATCTGTGCGTAAGGGCACTAATCAATGCTAGTACTTCTGAATTATTTTGCAGGACTGCCAACACATTTTACTAACCATTTATCAGTTTCGCAGTTAATGCACGTGGCCCTCAGAAATAGAAGGAAGAGAGGTATTATCGTAAGATTGACTTTTCTGATTGAAGTTGGAGACTTTTTATTGTTGTGACAGTCTACACAGAAAGCTGATGTTTTATCACTAAAGGGGGAAGATTTCCATTTATAAAGGACAGGTTTGTGAATCACTTGCACAAGTTCACAGAGTTTGTCGTATGTTATGATGATCTCAGTGAATAAACTGCTAGCTTCTACTGGTCCCAGTTCCTGTACAAACAGTATTCACTTAATCCCAAAGCAAAACGATCTGGATGTAAGATTGTTTCTTAGGTTTCTACTAGCAAGTGTATAAGAAATCAGTTTTTCACAGTTTTCCAAAACAAAAGCTGCTCTTAAGCAGGAATCCTACTATCGTTCCTTTGTGACTGAAGTTAGACAATCATGTTCCCCTTTTTTCCTTCACTGTTCAGTTCGATTTAGGGGATTATTTACCATTTCAAAGACATTAACATAAAACTTTTTTAAAAATCCCTTACAGTTTCTGTTTCATAGAATACAAAAGGGCTTGTGTACATAAAAGTGAAATGACATTGGGATATCCTTAGTGTCTCAAACCAATGGGGTTAAAAACTGAAAGCTAAGCTGACGTGTGTTTGGTGTTCTTTACAACTTCTTTCCTCTTCCTTAGAATCGACCTCCCATTGACCTGAAGGGTGCCATGATGGAGATGGTGGAACGGCTGAAGATGAAAAGCTCAGACCCCAATGTATGTGCCTCCTCTTATCAGCACTGTATTCTATTTCAGAGGTATTTTCTCACTATTAGAATAGAACACTATTCTTAAAATAACGTTAGGAGAACAGGTGACATAGAAAATTCAAAGCAAGGTAAGTAATTCACCTGATGTCCCGGCTAAGATTTCTCCATAGGTCAACATTATCAAGAACAGTTTAACTGGTCATTTATCTGCTTGCTGTTGTGGGACCTTGTAATCTATCTACATAGCCCCACTGACACAGTTTCAGCATTGTATGATTCAATCTGAAATGTTATTAGAAAGTTCACTGTACGTACAGATCTTAGAGATAAATAAATACAGCAGGGGTGATTCTTTAGTTCATTTTACATTTCAGTCAAAAATAGAGTTCATGCATGATCCTTGCATCACAGTTTCACGTCAAGCTTGGTCCAATGGTAATACTGTCACGTCTAATTAGAGGTTGAGCATTTCCTATCAAACAGCAGTGAATTGAACATATAATCTCAGCTGGCCCTTCAAAACATTCTGAGGTGCCATCTTTGAGATAAGATTTTGTTTTTTCTAAACTGACCTTCCACCAGACCTCTACTAGATGCAAAAGATCCCATGGCACTATTTAAAGCAGAGAAAAGGAACTGCCACCTGTGTCTGGTCAATATTTACCCTCAAACCACATCTAGAAACAAATTATCTAATCATTGTCACATTGATAACTTTGCTTTGCTGAAACTGGCTGTTGTGTCCCCTACATTACAATCATGACTACAATTCAAAAGTACTTAACTGGTTGGAAAGTATTTTGAAATGTCCTGAGGTCATAAAACAACAATAATAACAGTAACATAATAACATATTCCAAAGCATATCACAGCAACATTATAAACCAAAACATGACACTAAGTCAGTGTTTCTTACGTCAGTGGTGGGCAAATTATTGGAAAGGGCTCTGAGAGACAGGATTTATGATCACTTGGAAAGGCACAGTTTGATTCGTGATAGTAGCATGGATTTGTGAGGGGTAGATGCCTCACAAACCTTATTGAATTCTTTGAAGAGGTGACCAAACACCAGATGAAGGTGGAGCGGTGGATGTGGTATACATGGATTTAAGTAAGGCGTTTGATAAGGTTCCCCATGGTAGGCTCATGCAGAAGGTAAGGAGGCATGGGATAGGGGGAAATGTGGCAGATTGGATTCAGAATTGGCTGACCCTTAGAAGACAAAGAGTGGTAGTGGACGGAAAATATTCAACATGGTGCTCAGTTATGAGTGGTGTACCACAAGGATCTGTTCTGGGTCCTCTTCTATTTGTGATTTTTGTAAATGATTTGGATGAAGAAGCGGAAGGGTGGATTAGCAAGTTTGCGGACGATACGAAGGTGGGTCACACTGTGGACAGAGCAGAGGGCTGTTCTAGGTTACAAAGGGACATTGATAGAATGCAGAGCTGGGCTGAGAAGTGGCAGATGGAGTATAATCCTGAAAAGTGTGAGGTGATTCATTTTGGAAGGACAAACTTGAAAGCAGAATACAGGGTTAATGGAAAGATTCTTGGCAGTGTGGAGGAGCAGAGGGATCTTGGCATTCATGTTCACAGTTCGCTGAAAGCTGCCACCCAGGTGGATAGAGTTGTTAAGAAGGCGTATAGTGTGTTAGCTTTCGTTAATAGAGGGATTGAGTTCAAGAGCCGTGAAGTTATGCTCCAGCTATACAAAAGCCTGGTTCGGCCACATCTGGAGTATTGTGTCCAGTTCTGGTCACCTCATTACAAGAAAAATGTGGAAAAGGTGCAGAGGAGATTTACCAGGATGTTGCCTGGAATGGAGGGAAGGTCTTACGAGGAAAGGTTGAGAGAGCTAGGGCTTATCTCTTTAGAATGATGAAGGATGAGAGGTGACGTGATAGAGGTGTACGAAATGATCAGAGGTATAGATAGAGTAGACAACCAGAGACTTTTTCCTCGGGTGGAGGTAGCTTTTACGAGGGGACATAGTTTTAAAGTGAAAGGAGGTAGATATCGGGGAGGCGTCAGAGGTAGGTTCTTCACTCAGAGAGTGGTAGGGACGTGGAATGCATTGCCGGAGAGGGTAGTGGAGTCGGCCTCATTAGGGGCATTTAAGTGGCTATTAGATAGGCATATGGATGATAGTATAAGGTAGTGGTGGAGGTTAGATAGACCTTAGGTTTCGGGTAAAAGTTCAGCACAATATCGTGGGCCGAAGGGCCTGTACTGTGCTGTACTGTTCTATGTTCTATGTTCTAAGTCACACCAAAAGATATTAGGTCAAATAACAAAAAGCTTAGTCAAGAAGATAGGTTCTGAGGAGAAACTTAAACGAAGAAAGTGAGGTAAACATGCAGACAGGTGTGGAGAGAGGAAATTCCAGAGCCTAAGAAGTGAGGTAATTGAAGGTATGGCCAGCATCACTGGAGGAGTTAAAATTGGAGAAATAGTACAGCGGATAGAATTAGACAACACAGATATTTTGGAGGATTGCAGAGCTGTAGGTGATTAAAGAAATAGTGTGTGATGAGGCCATGGAGGAATTTGAAAATAAGGATGAGAATTTTAAAATCAAGACATTGTTTGATCAAGAGCCAGTGTGGTCAGTAAACTCAGGGACAGGTGAAGGACCCACCCCCCAAGCCCATGCCCACACCCACAATACTCTCACGTGCCCATGCATACAAATAACACAATAAGATATAGGATCAGGATTAGACCATTCGGTCCATCGAATCTGCTCTGCCATTCAGTCGTGGCTGATACGTTTCTCAACCCCATTTTCCTGCCTTCTCTCCATAACCCCTGATCCCCTTACTAATCAAGAAACTATTCATCTCAGTCTTAAGTGCACATAGTGCCCGCACTTCCAAATCTCCTTCCTCGTGTCACTTGTTTGACCTTCCTGCCTCCTCAGGGACGAAGATTTGTGCAGGAAGACCCATAGTTGACTTTTTTGACTGACCACGAATTAAGGGCCTTTAGTGGTAAATTAACAATAGTTAAGGGCCCAGTCCCTCAAAGGCCTGATTAACTGTGTCTCTGGTACCTTTTCCACTGCAAAACAGGTAGCCTACCTGCTGGAGAGATAGTGGGAACTGCCGATGCTGGAGAATCTGAGATAACAAGGTGTAGAGCTGGATGAACACAGCAGGCCAAGCAGCATCAGAGGAGCAGGAAAGCTGACGTTT